TTAAGGACGCCAGACAGAAGACTGGACTACTCTGGCATCAAATACACAGACCAAACCTTTCAGGTGGACGAGGTTGAAGAGGCATTAAAGAAAGAATTGGAAGGGCCGGGAAAACTTATCGGCTACCGAGCGCTGCACAAAAAACTTAGACAGGTCCACGAGCTTAGCGTTCCGCGGGATCTTGTATATGACGTAATGTACAATGTAGATCCAGATGCTCTCGCCGAAAGGGCTCCCCAGGTCAAAAAGGCAACTTTCACAGACTTGAATATCCAGCAACATCATCTCTCTCTCTGACCATTTATATGAGAAGTTTGCCAGACACTGCCTTCTTGATCAAGGAATCAGCATTTACGCTCTCACATATGCTCCCATTGTTGCTGATATATTTGCGGAATGTCCCCTCTATAAAATCTTCTGCTGTTACATACTCTTTGCCAATCATTCCAATCAATCATGCATATCTTCTTGTAACTCATGGTCTCCCCAAAAAGGATTTCATTATCGCTTGCAAGAAGCTCCTCTTTAAGCTTAGCTGCGAAATTTTGTGCAAGGCAGTGCATTTGCACTACCTTCTTTGTATGTTCTTCTAGTGTCTGTCCAATAGCAATGATGTCGACCGCAGCCTTTTCTAGATACCTCTTCACCACCCATGTTGAGCAATTGAATCCTCTGTCATCAAGTCGCTTTGAACGCCTTACGAAATCCACCAGTTCCAAATGGCTCGGGTTCAATAGAAAAATCCACGGTTGTTGGTCTTCCGGTGCGCGCCATTACCGACATGTCAAAATGAAGATCTCAACGGAGGTTGTGGTATCGGTAATGAGCTTTCCCAATTTTAGCATGTCAACAAACGACAGGCTTTGCGGGACAAACTTGCATGGAATTTGAAATGACGCTCTTTGAGGTACTGATGTGACAGCAGCCCCAGTCTTTCCATGCCCGGCATTCTCACCATGGGAAATGTCGCTGATCTATCGCTTCCGCCGCCCACCGACCCCCGCTGAAACTTCAATCGGAGCGTCCTTGACTTTGCCCTCTATGAATCGCCCATGGATCCTTTTTAACGTTGGCAACTGTTTTACAGAGGAACAAGAGAGTCCCTGTTCCCCCGCAAGTGCATCGCAGGAAATCGTTTCCGACATACCGTAGTGTTTCATGCATGCTTTCTTGATGTTTCTAACAGAGATTTCGTTGATTTCGTTGAAGTCTTCGAACGGGACTGCCTCCATTTACAACTTCATTTTCTCGGCCTGAAGGTGGTTATATTAACAAGCTGACTCTTACATAAAAGAATTGGTCCGTGATTAGCGTGCGTGTATCGAGTCATGGATGCACGTGGGAAGTTTAGAGAGCGCGAGAGAACTTTTCGAAACGAACTCTCAAAATAAGCACTTTTATGCGCCTTTTAGGTTCACTCACGACACGTGATTTTGATACAATTCATTTAGGCACGCGCGAAATAAGCGGTAGGGATTATCGCGACTTTTTTATCACTACCTTAAAAAAAAACGGTAACAACAACAACAACAACAACCATTTAGAGCGGCTGGCAAGCCATTATCGGTGTCTATTTGGGGAAACCGAAAAAATTGGCCTCCCTCGGATTTTTAACAGCTCTCTTTTTCTGGCCATTGTTTTCTGTTAGGTTTCCTTGAAAAATTCTCCTAATCGAAGTCTGTTCTCTGGATCTAAAATCATGCGCGTCAACCAAAGCTTTTTCACACATATGGTAGTGTGGAGAATCAGCAAATGGGAAACTATCCCTCATCTTGTCATATAAAGTAAAGATGAAACCAGTCACAAACTTAAGTCGATTTTCCCTATCTTTTTCTGTAATCGTCACCAACTTGAGTTGCACAATTAAATTAGACGTG